ATAATAATAATAATAATAATAATAATTTGATAAATTTCTATAACGTCATATATTACACTCTATAACACTTTACAATGAATTTCCTCGCACTCTGTTCAAGTCTTAGGATGAATTAAAATGAAACGYATTATAATAGACTATTCATATTGACAGCGATGGTCAAATCAGTTAACTGAAAAAGCAGGCGGGCTACGTACTTACCAAGAGCACTCGCAGTGCCTAAACACAACAGAACTAAAATTGAGCCAAGTAGAGACGTCATCCTGTTAGTAAAGCCAAAAAGATATGGGAGAAAAATTGAATCAAAAAATGAAATTGTTCAAGGTTAGTGTGTTTTCATCTGTGTACGTGCCACTTGGGGGAGGGGGGGGGGCTCAATCTGTGAATTAGCTGTATCCTGACGTATATCAAACCAGTGGTTGTTTCCGGGTTTGATCTGTAAGGTCTATTAGAAATGGTGAGTTCAATAACAAGATCGTGGCTTTTAGGATACCTTGAACAATTCTCGATTATATTTTTTATTGTATAATAATAACAAAATCCTATTAATTTTTTCGTGTTAAAATGTTGAATAAAAACGAATCATGAGTTTTAGAAATGGCGAGTTCACTACCTCGATCGTGGCTTCGTGGATACCCTAAATAATTATTGAAAAATATTTTTTAATGTATTGATAATAACAAAATCCTATCACTTTTCGCGTTAAAATTTTAAATAAAAATGAATCACGAGTTTTAAAAATGGCGAGTTCCGACCAACTTCAACAATTATCGCTGAAAATAATTTTTATTGCATTAATAATAACGAAAATAATAATAACCTAGAAGTGTAGCTACTGTAGAAGCCTTTACGTGTCACTTGCTTCGAAGCAGATAGGTGAAGGTCGAGGGAAATAGCTATACCGACGCGCCTTATATCRGGAAATTCCTGACAGACTGTCTCGTTGCTGGTGGTGGCAACGAAAAATGATAATCGGATAAAGTGGTTCGTTTCCCTTCTTTTTCAAGATGATTTTTGTCTTTGTTTCAAAATTCAGTTTATTTTCGAGAATTAAAGGACAAACACTTAATTCGTGAAACAGTACAAAATATAAAATAATAATTTAATTTTGTAAGTGTATATGCTTATCGAAATTTGTAATGTTTCGATAACTACGATTTAGTGTTCAAAAGTGCTATTTTATGAAACCCTTAAACAACCTCTGGGCTGATCTAAGTCAAGACATGGCTAACTCACAGATCGAACACTGAAACAACCCCTGGGCTGATCTAAGCCATGGCACGTTTACTGACTCACAGTTGGAACCCTGAAACAACCTCTGGGCTCAGAGATCTAATTCAGGACATTGCTAACTCACAGATCGAACCCCCMAAAAAAACTCTGCTCTGATCTGAGTCAGGGCACGGATATCGCACAGATCAAACCCTAAAACAACCTCTGGACTGATCTTAAGTAAGGACATGGCCAACTCACATGTACACATCGAACCCGCCTGAAACATCTTCTGAGCTGATCCAAATTAGGGCACGGTAACTCTCAAATTAAAAGATGGAATATTTAAGCATCTCTAGGCTGGTACAAGTCAGCCGGACTTGGCTAATTCACAGATTAAACTGAAATATAGCTTGTTAGTTTTTTTGTGAAGGAARGAAAACTGGAGAACCCGAAGAAAAACCTTTTAATCAAGAAAGAGACAGAAAAGACTATACATGGGTTGCTGGAATGAAACTCTACACCACAGAGCTGAGAGCACTATTGCCACTATCCATAGACTCCCTTTCATAATATTCGGTAGTATAGAAAGATTAGATATACACACAAGTGATTAAACAGATAGTCAAGAGATARTATAAATAGAAAATGAACAAGTTACCATCTATTACCTTAACTGCTGGTGCTCCTTAAGAGTGTTTAGCTGATGACATCTATGAAACAAGAGCATGAAGTAGTGCACTTTATATGGTCAAATTCATGCATTAAACATTTTCCCTTTCCCATCTCTTCTTTGGAAATAT